CCTGCTTGTGTTCCCTCTCTCGCTGTGTCTCTCTCTGTCAAATAAATAAATAAATAAAATCTTTAAAAAAAAAAGTATCTATATTCCTTAATCCTAACATAGATGGACTAGTAGAAAATTAAGTCAATAACTGGTAAAGTTAGTGAAACAAACACTTCCTACATTTAGAGAAGCTTTCACCCACACACTTTAAGACAAAAAGACATACTTAACCCTCAGAATGCAAATAAGCCCACACGTTTCAAGCAGCTTGAATTTTTCCACATTCTGTGTATGTTACCTGCTTCCCATGTACCAGAAAAGTAGTAATGTGTGGGGCTATAGAGGAAGAAAATTTCTGGGCAAAGGCAGCCCCGTAGCGTACCGCCAACCTGAGTGTGTCAGTAGAAAGCCATAAAAGGGAAAATACAGTAAATAAACTTCCAGGAGTTTATACTTTTAAAACGTAAGAGTCAGCACTCTAAATATCTGCTAGTTAATGCTTTATCTAAAATCCAAGTATAATAACATAAAGCAAAAACAGGTTCACTTAGCAAAAAATTAGACTATAGACCACATTTGAAACATACTGGCTGAAAAGCAACATCTATTGCCTTGCATGCCTTACTGTGCTGAGAATTTACAGTGCAAATTTGAGATTTAGCCAGAGGATTATTATATTACTTCTTCTGGGTTGGAATGATATATTTACTATAAATCACAGAGTTGAAATACCGCTAAGAGATTGTCTTGTCAAATCCCTTTATTTTAGAGATTAGAAACCTGAGGCTCATTGAGGTTAAGAGCGCTGGATATTTTTTTTTTTCCCCAAAATGAGATAATAATGGGTCATTTAAAAAATACTTGTACTCTTACTTTCAAAATGTTAGATTCTGCTAGTAAAATGGCTAGAACTGCTTCAAAATACAGAGGGCTATGCATTTAGGCATACCTACCCCATTGTGAACTGAAACAATTTTATCTCAACTTGCCCTATTTTTTTTTCAACCCCTGAGAGACTACTTCTGCAGAATATATTAGTTATTTTACATGAAGCAACTACAATCACTGGGATTCATTCAACTTAAGTGGTGAGAGAACTGCCTTCTATTATTTTTGCTTATGATTAAATGAACCATTGGTCTCTTTTCATGGCCTTCTATAATAACAGAACAGATTTCCTGGATACAAAGTAGAACCTAAAGCACCTTGCTGGGATGGAGGAGGTGCAGTGTAGGAAAGAGTCATTAGCATATCATTCCAGTGAATACTCTCTCCAGGTTCTATTCCTATGGAGGTCCTTATTCCCAGACATTACTTTTAGTATCTTGGGAGAGCCACAATATAATGGAATGTAGAAAGATCCTTAGAAAGTAGACAGAATCAGAATGGCCGTAACCTTGGAGTTTAAAAGTAAAAATTAGGATAAATAACCATCTTTACGATTGGCCATTATCTTTATGCCTTTAAATATGACAACACAAAAAATAAAACACAGTGACAAAGACACTAATACGAACCAAAGCTTTTTGCTGCCAGCTCTTCTATAGACTCTCTCAATGTGATCAGAAACGGTACCTAGACATTGGATAATAGAGTCTTTGTTGAAAAAAAAACCCTTTTAATTAAATGAATAACATTTATTCTCTTTTAAAAAACCACTCTTGAATTTCATTTTGTTCCACTAGAGTTAATACACCCACACCCATTAGTCTTCTGAACTCCCTGACATATTTAAACATGTAACCCAATATATAGTGTGAATGTCCCAGCCATAATTACTATTTAGTTTGAGTATATGATTTTGGTGAGTACTTTATTTCTTGAAATTTATTGTTTTCCTAATTAACATACAATCTAAGTTTTTAACAAATAATATTATTTTAATTAGCACAGAAAATAAACAGAATACAGCAAATTGAGCAAGTACTGTAGACTCTGAATATATATGATTATTCATTTTTTTGTCCCATGAAAGTTTATGGAGACTCTATTATGTGCATGATCATTCCAATACATAATAGTCCTCAAAAGACACCACGGGGCTTCATTCTTTGGCCACAATTTACATGTGGTCTGGCTTTGTGACTAGCTTGTCAATAAATTAATGATGGTGACAGGACAGAGTAGCAAAAAGGAAACATGGGGAGAGAACAATTCATTTTACCATGAATTTATTTTTATAGCTTTATAACAAATTGGATAAAATTACATTCAGATTCTGTAGATGCTTATGATTTTCATTGTATCATAAGATTTTACAGATTTAAAAACTTAGTCTTTTAAATAAGCAAAAGATGAGTATTATTCCTATTTATAAAAATAGTTGAAAAAATAATTCTCTCAGCATTTTCATTATAAACTATTTTATATAAACTTGGTTTTATTTTAAAGCACTATTAAAATAACCATTCTGCGTTCTAGGTTCCTATTAAAACGTTTGCTTTTTAAAAATCCTATTGTTTTAGTTAAAGTATGAATTTCAATGAATGTCCTCAATATAATTGGGATTCTGCTTATAGTTTCAAGATTAGAATTAGAAATTAGAAACAAGTTAATTAGAAACATGAGGGATTCTGTTTGAAATTTGCTTAAAGTTTTTCTGCCTTTAATCAGTTAAGAAAATTAAGACTATTCAGCTGACGTATATAATATTCAAGAAGTTTATCTCTTAGCTACAATAATGTAAAAACTAAGTAGACCTTATTTGAATAAACAATTATGTTTAGTTCACTACTAAAACTATATATCTTATTAATTACATTGCTGTTTAGAATCCTGACTCAATCTCTAATCCTAAACAAATCAACATGCCCCTCTAACAGAGGACTTTCAGATGAGCCAAAAACTTTGAGTATCTTGAAATATATTCTATATTATTCTGTATAATAAAACACTAGAAGCAGGCCATGATGGAGAATTCAAGGATTCATTAGTGTCTCAACATACAAGTGTGGATTTCAGGGGTAATTGGGTTGCATCCTTAATGCAGAGAAGACATGATTAGAAATGATTTATTTTTGTTAACAATGTTTAGAGCACAATTCTATTAAATGCCATGTTCCACTGGCTGCTGCAGACCATGAGGGAGCTAATTTTTATAGCTATCATGATTCAATATTGTTCTTAAAAACATTCAGGAAATAAAACTGGAAACAGAAACTGTCAATAAAGAACTATTAAAGAGTCATCAGAGGTTAACAGTCACAGGCAGAATCAGGCTCTAAGACCATTCAGACAATCAGAGAAACAATCAAGCATCACTGCATGAAAGCAATTTAGGAGTTCATACATCAGTCTATTCCACTCTAGGGGGTATGAGTAAACATTTTCCATTTAAAGGTTAAAAAAAAAGGTTTAATGGAGGATAAAATAACTTATTTTAGTATATATTCATTATGTATATTTGCTATATGTTCAAGAATAGAGAGGTCTCACTATTTAAAAATGTTATCTTAGACATGTATACTTACCTTCCCTGGTGATGAAGTTGGGGCCTTCTCTTTTGAGCAGTATACCCAGCAGGATGGCTTGGCTAGCCAGACAACTGCAGTCCTAAAAATACAAATCACAGTGAGTAACTGGAATAAAATGGGTACAAAAGTTATCATAGGGAGTAACTAATCAGGCAACCACATGATGCAGAGAGGAAATCTGCTACAGAATTAAAGAAAAATAAAATGTTACTGATATACTACCAAGCATTAGATGACATTAAACAACTCCTTATCTTAGGTATCTTGGAGACAGAGAGTAGACAGGTTGGCTTCCTGATACAGTATTTAATAATCGAATCTTCCAGGAAATAAGATAACCAATGGATAGAAAATATATTGTCTACAAGCATTAATACTTGATTAATATTTGATTCTGCCACTCTGAGAACATCCCTTTTGACTTTGCTTATTCATAAATGAAAGACCATGTTGCTATCAACCTGTTATGAGGAGATAGATAAAAGGAGGGGACATGTGTAGAGTGCTTTTTATACATTATGGCACCGTGCTTTGTGCTTTATGCTTACCATATCATACTCATGTTTATGGAGATCTATAGATAATGTCAATCAATAACAAGGACAGAAGATGTCTGGTAGGATATATATTCAACCTACATGCTCAAATTTGTGATACGGCCCAACAAGATGTCATAATGTTTTAGTTCTATCATTACAGTTTCATTTCCTTGGATAAGTACTATACCCCACTCTCACCCCACCTCTTTTAAAATGCAAATAATCTTAAAGAAGGTAAAGTATTAGGTTGTTAACATAATATTCATATGAATGTGGTCATAGGATTGCTTTCCTCAGTGACTGGAGAGACTTAAAGCAAGCATTAAGACCTAAACACAGGGATAAGACAGAAGATCCAAGTTGGGAAAAGGATGGGAGAGTACTAAATGAGAAGTCCGGAGATCCCAAAGGCAATTATTCCTGACATAACTTCTTCAATGGCTCATATAATTCCTTCATACCCAAGGCAACCCAAATCATCCACACTTCTTAAGCATCTTTAAGACATCCACGCTAATGTTAGACCATGAGAACAACCTCTCATTGGTGCCTCTACCATGGAGAGGCCGTCTACCTCTTCCTCCAGGCACTTACAACTACCTTCTCTGAGAGGACAAAAGAAATATGGCTTGGCCCTGAAAATTCCTGCTCTGCCAACCTCACTCAGAGCCATGTGGGAATTACATCTTCCTCACATTCAGTTTTTGAAGAATTTCGTGGGTGGACTTGTTCTTCCATTCAGTAATGGCGATATCTGGTTGCTGTTTTAGTTCAGGAGCACTGGAGGTACTGCTTTGTCGTTTGACTTTTGAATGTTTTGGAAGTTCTAGTTCCTCAAAACTCTTAAATTCTGGAAGCCTAGAAATTAAAAGAAAAAGTTTCAGATTTCCTGCATTTCTAATTCTAGTTTCCTGCTTTTCCAATACTAACCCAAAGGGACTTACTCTTCTGTGTCACTGATTCGTAGGAAGTCAAGTTGTTCTACTACAGCTCCAGATATTAGTGTCTGAAATGTGAGAAAAAATTCACAACTCTTAAATTCATGAAGCCATACCCTTATGATCTGTGTATATATGTTTCTGTAAGTATGTAATACTCAAAAAAGTTTACTTTAAAAAGTACACACAATTCTTTTTTTTTTTTTAAGATTTTATTTATTTATTTGAGAGAGAGAGAGAGAATGAGAGAGAGAGCACGAGAGGGGGAGGGTCAGAGAGAGAAGCAGACTCCCTGCTGAACAGGCAGCCTGATGTGGGACTCGATCCTGGGACTCCAGGATCATGACCTGAGCCAAAGGCAGTCGCTTAACCAACTGAGCCACCCAGGCACCCCACACAATTCTTAATTTCTTAAATGAGCATTCTAAAATCAGGTTTGCATATACAACAAAACCCTCTTAAAAAGAACATATAAATCATGCTACAAGTTCATGGGTCATAATAAATAGGAAAGTCAACATGAGATGAACTGTATTTTCTCTCTGTTCTGAGAATTGTGGGCATTTATTTTTAAGCTAGAATTAAAATTCAGTACCTATTAACATGTTAAAAATAGTTTGAAATTAAAAAACAAGGAATACTAAAACTGTCTTGAGAAAAGATGATGTGAAATTGCACGTTGGATTCTGTTACCATGATCTATTTCAGGGCTATCCAGTTATGGGATACTCTGCCAAGTCTCTGTTTTTCAGGGTCAGGAAGTTGTTGATTACTGAGGCCAGTCCTTCTCTACATTCTGGCAACCCATATCTGGTCATTTTATTTTTCATTAGTTCCTGATTATAGGTTAGCACACTAAATAAGGCCAAATTCAAACACAGTTTTTATTTGTCAGTGGTTCATAGTGAAGAGCATAAATGAATGATAACCCACAATGGTTTTTTAGCAATATGTGTCACTTCTAATTATCTGATGAACTGTCAGATAAAACTGAGAAATGTACTGCATAAAAAAACCCATAAATTATTATTTTAAAAATAAGGCAATTCTTCAATCAAAACTGTCTTACATGTATTACTTTCTCAATTTTCTCACTGTTTTTTTCAAATAGGAAGCAACATGACACAGGAAATGTTGCACTTGTTGGCTAACCACCCAGAGTTGTGCTGCCTTCTCCTCTAGTGGAAACTCATAAACAAAGTAGATCATCAACAAATACCTACTACAAATGTCAGGATAGACATATTACCAGCAATCATACTAAAGCGTCCTTTCAGAGTTTGAGTGAGGAAGGCCAAACATGCAACCAATCTGCACATTTTCATGTGGCAGCAACAGTCAAGGTCTGAGAGCAGTCTGTGCCTAGGCAGAGAGCAGTGTTGAGCATAATAAAAGTCCGCTGAGTGGTATTTCCTAAGATTCAGGCTGAGATCTACACATCTTGCTCTCTGGTTGACTTGTTAGACAAATATTCATTGAACACCTACCATATTCCAGGCACTCTCCTAGGTATTAAGGATATAGCAAGAATAAAATACACAAAATCCTTGCCCTCTTGAAATTGACCTTAGCTGTGTGTAGGAAGAAGACAATATAAACAAACAAAAAACTAAGTATGTTATGTCAGATGATGTTAAGTACAGAGTAGAAATAAGAAAGGTAGGGGATGAGAAGTGTTGGGGCAGGAGAGTAGGAGGAGGCAGGTTTGCCATTTTATACAGGCAATCAGAAAAGACTTTTCTCATACAGTGACATGTAAGCGGAGGCTGAAGGAAGGACTGTAGTCAACAATATGGATCTTAAGGAAGAATGTGCGGGGCTGAGGGAACAGCAAGTGCAAAGTTCCTGAAGCAGAAGCATACCTGGTGTGTTTCAGGAGCAGTAAGGAGAAGAGTGTGGATGGAATACAGTAGACAGGACAGAGTGGTAGGAGATGAAGTCAGAAAAAAAAAGTCCAGATCATGGACGGTGTAAAGACCACTGGAAGGACTTTGGCTTGTTTTCATTTTGTATGAGTGAGAAAGTCAGTAAAGGCTTATGATATGTGACATAATCTAACTGCCTTATGACCAGGTAGAGTACGAAGATGCTAACTGTCTTATGGCCAGTAGGAATTTTGGAGACTGCTGTAAAAACCTAGGCGAGGCATGATGGTAACCTGAGCTGTGATGTTAGTGTTAGATGATGGGAAGTGGTTAGATTCTGGATATAATCTGAGGGTAGAGAAAACCAGAATTGATAATGGATTGTAATAATGTGGGATATGAAAGAAAGAGAAGAGTCAAGAATTATTTGATGCCCAAATCTAATAGCTAATACTGAAAACATAAGAAAAATAATTTTGATTTAATATTTTCTATTATTAGCCTACCCACTCCATATACTGATTAAGCCCATATGGTAAATGTTAATAGGCAAATGCTAAATTCCATTAATAGTCTCTAGAGCTTTTGATAAAAAAAATTCAGTTGGTTAAGAGAGGCTCCTAAATTAGTTTTATAAAAAATATTACACTTATGATTAATTTACTAGCCATTAATACTTTACTTCTCATGGTAATTAAATGACTTAACATTGTTATATATATGTCAGATGAAATATAATATTGGTATCCTGCTCTGTGATACTTAATTATATCCCACCAAGTTCCTTTACAGCTGAACATCCTACCTGAGACTGCACTCCATCCTATCATTCTGCATTGCTCCCTGGCTTTGTTTTTGGTTTGGTTCCCCCACTAGAATAAGTCCCATGAGATCAGGGACCTTGTATATTTTTTTCACCACTTTATCTCCAGTGCCTAGAGAGGGAGCTCAATGAACATATGTTGAATCAATGAACCAATATTCATACCTTTCCTAAGAGAGTATAGTAGTGAGCAGAGCACTCTGGGAATTCAGAGATAACTCAAGCTTGGCCTGAAAAAGTTTTCAATCCACAGAGAGAAGCAGACACAAGAAACTAGCTACACTTAAATTAAGAACTATAGCAAAAGTTCAAGCAAAATGCCACAGAAACATATTGGAATGAGAAATTAATTCCAAACTTTGAGACTTCACTAAAGAGGTGACATTGACCTAAATTATAAAATTATTTAGAAGGGAAAAAAAAGAGAGAAAGGCAACTCTAGAATAGAATAACAGCATGAGCAGGAAAAAAATTCCAATTACATTCAGGGATTTTGAAAGTATTCAGTATACTTGGGGAGTGGAAAGCAGGGCTGGGAATGAGCTGCATGGAAAGATCCTGGGTGATGAGGTAGGAAGGGAAGTTGAGGCCCAGTGATGAGAGAGACTGTGGAACATGGGCTAAAGAAATTTGAAAGGGCTTGAAATAAAAAGAGAAGCATATAGGTGTCATTTTCATTTACTATATTAAAGAGAAGACAAAGGCTAGGATGGGGTGATGTGGGGTCGTTGTTTAATAAGTGTAAAGTTTTGCAAGATGAAAAGAAGCTTATTCTCTGGTGAAAGACTCTGTACTCAAGGGAGGGTATAGGGCACAGCAGAGAGCAGGAGACACAGTGGGACCCCCCGGCTCCTTCCCCAACCCTGTACTCAGGATATGAAAGCAAAACGTATGTTCTTCAGGCAGGAGGTTAGATGTTTATTTTGGAAAATGAAGGGCCTAGGAGAAAAAAACTCCAGATATTGGCACCTGGGATTTCCCCCAACAGAAAGAGCCCTTGCTACCAGATTACCTGATAAATGACATCATCATGACAAGAATCCTTGTTACCAAACACAGAGCTTCCAATAAACTTATTCTTTCATTCTTAAAAGTGAATGGATAGCTAAAGATTACCACACATCTGACAAATGCCTCCAACATGAAAGACTGAGCACAAAAAAACAGAAAAGAAACCTGAAAGAGATCAGGCAAGAAGAAAATTTCAAAAACTCTCAAGTAAATAATCTTAGAAAGATAAAAAATAATATCCAGAAGATAAGAACATGATACTATGAAAAGGGATAATTAAAAACATGATAGCCAAAATATAAAATTTAACAGAGAAGCTGCATGATAAATATGAAAGAAATTTTTCCAGAAAGCATGACAAAAAGACAATAGAATAGCAACAGAAAGCGACAGAAAATAAGGGGGAAAAGATAAAAAATTTAGATAAAAAACAATCAAGTATACAAAACACAAGCACTAGTGGAATGAGTATGTAAACATGCCATTTGTAACATTTACCTACATAGCTCCCTCTATAAATTTTCCTCTTTCTTACTCAATATTGAGAAACTGCTACATGAAAGACTCTATGAGATAATCAAAATTTTTTGTAGAAAATAAGGCACTCAAGTCCATGACAGACTACAGTCTGAGCAGTTCATGTTAAAGGTCATAAAAGGATGTTTGTTCCAGAAGAGTGGTGTTATATTTGGTCTAGGTGATTTTGCAGAACTGGCCCTAAAGTTTGGTAAGATTTTAAAGTGCAGACATCTTGAAAGAATGAAGGATATTCCAGATAGAGGAAATGGCATGAGCAGAGGGGCAGAACCTCACAAAGTTAGAATACAGTAATTAACTTGTATTGGCTGAAGCACAAAGAGTGTTTAGTAGAAGATAACTGTGGGTGGGGAGGCTGTTCTGGCTAATAGGGAACCACAAGGGGCTTCTGTCATTTAGGAGTTATGAAGATAATGTTGTGAGGTCCTGAATCAAACAACGATCATCTCCAGATTGGATGTTACTGTGAAGCAGGGAAAAGAACACTGGACCAGGGAGTTAGATATCTTGGACCAGGGAGTTAGGCAGGTCACTTCACCACTCTGGACCCCAGCTTCCTCAACGGCAAAACAGAGGTTGGAGATGAGGTATTAAAGTCTAAAATTCTGGTTGGGAAACCACTGCAAATGTCCAAGCACAAGACTGAAGGGATAAAATAAACAGGATGGTTACAACAGGAATAGGAAGGCAAGGAATAAACTCTTAAGACAAAAACCTTAAACAGAACATATATTAAGAAATACAGCTGTGTATTATATATATCTGTGTATTAATTGTCCTGAAACAGAAACACACTGAAATTCAAAATATTACCTGTAGACGATCAACATGAACTTTGACTCCTCCAACTATTCCCTTTTTAAAGGATGCTAACATATCTAATATGGGGTTGAAGCGGCTACCTCTAAAAAATATAAACAAACAAAAGGTGCATTATTAATAACAGAATGAGAAATAAAAAGTTTAATACTAAATATCCTTCACATATGCAAGTCTCTCTGCCACATGCTGACAGAGACATAAAAACAGTAGGAGGTCTGCTTCTAAAGGGTTCATAATGTTAAAGGGGGTGAGATGGGTGCACCTCACTTCTTTTATCAACCTACCGTATATTGTCTTCCCGGATGAGAACAAGGAAAATTGGACGTCCATGCATTTTCCAGTATTGCTTAATGAACTGTAGTGCATTCTATCAAAACATAAGAATGAGGCAGAATGAAATGGCACTGTATCTGAGCCAATCAGGATGTTTAACCATTTGTGGCAAAGAGCCAACAAAACTCTGATATATGAAGATAATTCACAGTCAAACCCTGGATAATATAAACTACAGGGGTAGAAATATTCTGATACAAACATATATACAAGTATGAATATATACAAAGTTAAGTTTAAAACTTTATTGATTTCAAACTTTGTTCTTAAAAGTAATCAGATTACATATATTTTAAGCCTGCTTCTTTTCTGGTGGCCTAATGAATACAGTTTAAGAATGGTCCCTGGAGGAAAAAAGAGAGAGAGAGAGAGAGACAAACCAAGAAATATTAACTATAGAGAACAAACTGATGGTTACCAGAGGGGTGGTGGGTAGGAGGATGAAATGGGTGATGGGGATTAAGGCGTGCACTTGTTGCGATGAGCACCAGGTGATGTATGGAATTGTTGAATCACTATATTCTACATCTGAAACTAATATAACACTGTATGTTAACTAACTAGAATTAAAATAAATACTTAAAGAAGAAAAAAAAAAATGGTCCCAGGGAGGAAAAATCAATCCAGGGTTGTCATCCAGAAGATTAATCCTCATCCCACATTACTGTGCATTTATTACAGCAGGTAGAAGAAACTAGACTGAATCTATACAGACCATCAGAAATGTGGAGAGAGTTCTTTTTTGACTCAATTTCTACTCTTGTCATCATCATTGTCATCATATCAAAGACTTACATAACACTTCACCATATGTCAAGTACTATTCTGCGTGTTTTATATACATTAACTCATTTAATTCTCAGAATATCCCTATTATTATTCAGTTATACAGATAAGAAAAGAGAGACACAGAGAACTTAAGTAACTTGCCCAAGATCACACAGCTGGTAAATAGACAGTAGAGCCAAGATCTTAACAAATGTAATCTGGCTCCAGACTTCATGCTCTAAACCATGACTCTAAGCTTCTCTTCTCTGCAAATGGAAAAGGGAGTGGAGATTTTAACTGACTAGATGTTATGAGTTAGTTGAAGTTTTACTTGACATTCTTCATAAATAAAATTATTTTGCTAACTCAACTTTTTTTCAAAAAGAGATAAACTACTGCTGTCATATGAACATGGTTTCCAAATGGTTTCCCCTCTGCTTTATAAACTGTATCTTTTCATTCCATTTGTAGAATGGTCTATCAAGCAAAGTCATACAACTTTACATAAGACATACTCCATCTATTATTCTAATACTGCAAGCAATTTAACTTTCTCCAAAGCCATGCAGATGTTGTTTTACTTTCATATTTTACACCGTGTTAACACAGTGTCACAGACACCAATGAGCACTCAATTTAATAACATATGATAAAATCAGTAGAAACCCAGTCATCCAATTTCAATAAAAAGGGGTTCTGAAGCTACCTTTATGTCATCTATCAGCAGTAAAACATCTTGAGACATGTAGAAATCACTCAGGTCGAAGATGATAGGGTAACAAACCACAGTCTTTCCTAGAATGCGATAAATCTGTAAGAGATAATTAAAAAAGTACAAAACAGGACCAAAGGCAAATGTACAGTAGCATAAGTCTTAATAAAAATTAAAACTGATTAAGAAATTTCAATGTTTCGTGATTGGATCAATAAGATCAGTATACTAAAGAGTAGTCTACCTCTACTGTGATAGAAAAAGCCTCTGAATAAATACTGTCATAATCAGGTACCTTACAATGTTCAGAAATAATATAGGAGTGTGATGCTTATTCTTTGCTAGAAGACTTCTGTGATATCACACAAAACAAACAGTAAGATTTACTTGTAGAAAATGATAATTCAGATAACCAGCCCAAGTATATAATAAAATGTGAGAATGGATGCAAAGCAGGTCAAACATCATTTCATTCTGTGGTATTATAATCTGAACACTGCTCCACAAGGAAATTTTATGAGCACCTTTGATGTACCGAGGCAGCCAATGGGCCTATCTGGCCTTCCGGAGAGTCCTAATTTTTCATTGATTCCCAGGTGGAAATAAGCCTGTAAGACATAAATTTATAAATCAGTCAGGCAAGAAGAATCCATGCTTTCCTTTTTGGCCCCTTTATACCCCCTGACTAAAGCCCTGCTAATTTCTGATCTTTCCAGAGGAAAAGTGGCCAGGGAAACCTTACTCAATAGACCTGCTAGGAAAACAAGCTAGCCAATGATGTCAACTTAGATTTGGGGGCACTGAGATTTGAGAGCAAATCTTTGCAGATCTACTTAGCAACATCCTAAAATCTGACATTGTTCTTGTGCTGTCAAATGTACAACTTGCATGGCTCTGTCCAATTCATAAAAGAACACAAAGAGACAAATGCTTCCTGTGTGATTAAAAAAAAAAAAAACGGGCTAAAGTTTTAATTCAGGGCCTCACATCTCCTACTAGATTCCCACCTTCAAGTATTTCCCATCAAAATGGAAATGTCTTTATTGATTTTTCTGATTATATGAATTTTCTGAAAAATTTAAGCCATGTGCTCGAAGTGAATGGTCCTGTTTACTCTCACAATTCCATAGGTAACAACTCTTGCACTTTGGTATATGTTGAAGGAAGTATAATTTATTGTGTGAGCCCTAAAAAACACCTGATGTATAGGGTTACAGATTTTTAAAAGTATATAGATGAATATATACTCATATTACATACATATATCAATATGTGCATATATTTACATAAACGGGTTCATAAACTATATATATGTATCTGTTTGGTGTCCTACTTGTTAAAACTTAGTATTGTGGTGTTCCATTTCAAGATGGTAGACTGAGTCTGTGCATGTACTCTACATTTCAGTGTTGAAATGACTGAAGAAATATAAAGACCTCTAAAAATATCTGTAGGACTAACTACTGGAAAACAGAAAAAGGTGCCACAGTGGAACAGAAACTTCTAGAATTTCTACAAAGTAAAAACGGATGGATTTGGAATGAATTAGAAGGTAATCAGTGCCAAAGCTGAGCACTTCACCCAATAAGACGCCTTCTTACCCTATTTAATACCCATCCCTTGATGTAGGTAGTTCCCAACTTTTTGTTATTTCAAAAGCAATTCAATAAACATCTCTGGACACTGTACTATTATTTCTGCAGAATAATTTCTTAGACTTGCTGGATCAAAGAGAATATGTTTTCTTTGAAACATACTGCCAGGTTGGTCACCATGTAGAAACAGTGGACCAATTTATATTAGCTATTAACAGTGCATAGGCCTTTTTTGTTACTCTCTTGGGTCAAAATGACAGTTCATCTTAGTTTTAAACTACTGTATTCAAATATTTTATGGTTGAACATTTTCCCATATATTTAATGGCTACTGGTATGTTCTATAAATTTTTCCATTTGTTCCCTTTTCTTTTTTTAAATTTTATTATGTTATGTTAATCACCATACATTACATCATTAGTTTTTGATGTAGTGTTCCATGATTCATTGTTTGCGTATAACACCCAGTGCTCCCTTCAATATGTGCCCTCTTTAATACCCATCACCAGGCTAACCCATCCCCCCACCACCCTCCCCTCTAGAACCCTCAGTTTGTTTCTCAGAGTCCATAGACTTTCAGGGTTCGTCTCCCCCTCTGATTTCCCTTTCTACTATCTTCCTTTTTCTTTTTTTTTTTTTAACATATAATGTTTTATTTGTTTCAGAGGTACAGGTCTGTGATTCATCAGTCTTACACAACTCACAGTGCTCACCATAGCACATACCCTCCCCAATGTCTATCACCCAGCCACCCCATCCCTCCTACCCCCCAACCACTCCAGCAACCCTGTTTGTTTCCTGAAATTAAGAATTCCTCATATCAGTGAGATCATATGATACACGTCTTTCTCTGATTGACTTACCTCACTTGTTCCCTTTTCTACTGGGTATTTCTCATTCTTTTTGATTTGTAAGAGATCTTGGTATGTTAAGAATATTACCCTTTGTATAAATATTTTACCCAGTTTGCTTATCTTCAATGTTGTTACGAACTGCGAGAATGACTGCATAGTAGGTCAAACATCATTTCAGCATGCGTTATTTCAATCTAAACATTTTCCTACTAGGAAATTTCACAAGCACCTCTGATGTGCCAGGTTGTTTATCCCATCTTCAGCTGTATTTAGTTAAATTTGTCAATCATTTCCTTAAAGGCTTTTTTAGCACTGGCATTATTCTAAGAATGGACTTTCACTCCAAACAGTTGTAAACTGCTCTTCTATTTTTTCTTCTAGTGATTTTGTTTATATCATTTAAAAAAAAATTTGAATCTTTAATCGGTCTGGAATTTATTTTTCTCTTTGATGAGAGGTAGACATCTAACCTGTTTTCCTCTGAACTGACTTCAATTATCAACCTCATTGTACACAAAATTAATGTCATCACCAGAGGTCTCTGGTCATTCCGCTACAGAGTACATGCCCATGTCAGAGTTAGCTCTGTGTCTCTTTCTCCTTCTGCATTGCTAGGTTCCTAGAGAATAGCATCCCTTCAGTTGGTTGGCACTGTGCCTGACACAGAGCTGGTGCTCAGGAAATACCTGATAGATGAATGAGGGAGAAACTGAATGTCCTCCTGAGCTACCCGGCTGTGAATACTGACTCTGTAATAATGACTCTCATATTAGACATAGTCAACTGGCCAGAAAAAGTACCCTATAAGCATTAGGATATATAACTGCACTGAAACTATAGCACACTACACTAGATGGAGCCCCCTTTCTCTCAAATATTTTCAAATTTTCAGAATTAAATGTATGTCTAATCTATTTTAGATTTCTTCTTTTGGACAAGTGATCAATTAACCATGTACAAGTTAAAATGTACCGATCTAGATCTCCTTTAAATACTACTCTATTACAGTGAAAGGATTTTCCTTAATTTTCTGAACCAAGGTACAGCAGGTCTATGACAATTATGTAGACAGATCTGGAATGCTCCCCACATTCCAGGGTGTGGATAATACTGTCCCCACATTGTACACATGCACACCATTTAATCCACTGAAATAGTATATAGTAATGGCTAAACAACAGAACTTCATTCTAGATCACACTATATTCATCTCCCCCATGAAGCAAATCATACCACAGTCACCACATCATGAAACACTAATTACACACAGTATAAGGCCTGCTCTCAGCTGTCTGCTCTCATAGACTGTTAAGCGAGCTGAAGGAGGGTACAGCTCCTCAGAACAGAGATTAGCCACTGGCATAAGAATATGTGTATTAACTAAGATTTGAGGGAACACTTTCACTTTTAAAAGGTGGGCTTATCACTGTGTAATATATGGAACTGTTGAATCACTGTATTATAAACCTGAAACTAATATAACACTGTATGTTAACTACATAGGAATTATTGTTTTTTAAAGATGGGCTTATAAGAAGCAATATACTAGGAAGTATATCTTAGAGGATGAATCCCCACAAGCAGCTAGCTTGGAACACAGAGGCTGTAACAACAGAGAATCTTCTATCTTGACACATGTTTAGGGAAGTTGGACTCTTGGCTCCAAATCTCGTTTTACCCATACCACATACCCATTTGTTCACACCATTTGTTCACAACATCTTTAAAACAACAAAACATAAAATAAGTCAGGTCCTGTTAGAAGTCTTCACCTTACTCTTTCAATTTATTTTATTTTATTTTTTTTTTGAGAGAGAGTACATGTGCATATGCACTAGTTGAGGGGAGGGGCAGAGGGAGAGGGAGAGAGAAAGAGACATTCTTTTTTTTTTTTTTTAGATTTTATTTATTTATTTGACAGGGAGAGAGACAGCGAGAGAGGGAGTACAAGCAGGGGGAGTGGGAGAGGGAGAAGCAGGCTTTCCTGCTGAGCAGGGAGCCCAATCCCAGGACCCCGGGATCATGACCTGAGCCGAAGGCAGACACTTAATGACTGAGCCATCCAGGCGCCCCGAGAGAGAGATTCTTAAGCAGGCTCCACAGTGTAAAGCCTGACTCGGGGCTCAATCCATGACCCTGAGATCATGACCTGAGCTGAAACCAAGAGTCTGACGCTTAACTGACTGAGCCACCCAGGTGCCCCAAGTCTTCACCTTAGTCTTAATGGAATGCTTCCTACCACCTCCACAGCACCTTGTATAAACATCTATTATAGCACTAATCAAGGTGGATTGTAATTAACTATTTTTCCTTTCATACCAGTAGACTCAGAGTTCACTGAGAACAGGGACAGAGCACAAAGCCATTTTATCTGAGCGCCCCACACAAAATTCTGCACATAGCAGGTGTTCATTAATGAATGAATGAATAAAATGCCAGAAGCCATGCTTATCTTTTAAATCTTGACTGCATGTTGTCTAGTAGAGTACAGATTCACCTACCATAAAAAAGTTGCAATATAAATTAGGCCTGAAAAAAATGGAGTCAGGTTTATTTGCTTTGAGCACATGTTTATCAAAGAAAAATAATCTTTGTTACTATTCTCTGGAGCTTTCAGTGAGGGACCATAAAAAGTGTATCAGCAAATATAGCCAGTAATGATAGAGTGTTAGAGCCTTAGATTTTCTCCACTTCATGCTGCCTCCTCTCCTTGCCTCATGAATCCTCAGTTCTCTCTCCTCTTCTACCACAAAACCCATTTACATCTTTGCGTGATTTCAAAGTGTTACCTACTCTAGGGATCCTTGCATTTTCAGCCTTATCTCTTTAATCAGAGGGGAAAAGAGCTCTAAATTTGTTATAGGAGGTTTAAGAGCTTTCAAAGTGCTGGTACTCTGGGTGATCTGATACCCAGGTTCTGGTTTTGTTGACAATGGATAGGGTCCAGTATGATCAGCAGTGACACTCTGAGGCCCTGCCTTCTCCCATGCAATGTGCACCTCACTTCTCTAAGCTTTAATTCCTTGTTGTACCATCAAGGTTTTGACCACAAAAGTTTGTATCAACCTAACTGAGCTAATCTTGATTATTTGAGAGAGAAAATTCTAATCACTTACATCAAACACTTCAGAGTTTGTTCCTGTACTGTTTTTAACAATTACTAAGTAGAAGTGGTGGTTTATAAATAACTGGTGGAATCGGGCTCCCTGCACAGCGGGGAGTCTGCTTCTCCCTCTCTCTCTATCCCTCCCCCCTGCTTATGCTCTCTCTCTCTCTCTCTCTCTCTTCTCTCTCAAATAAATAAATAAAAATCTTTAAAAATAAATAAATAAATAAATAAATAACTGTGGAAGTCAACAATTTTCTGTCCCTAATGGGCAGGAATATTCCTAAATAGGCATTTCTGAATCCATCTGCAGAGCAGTACATGCAAAAGGCCCCCAAAGTCACCTTTTAATCCAATCTAAATAGGTATGTAACCGCACCAAAAATAAACTCAGATGTTACTTTGAGACCAAGCAAACCAAAAGGGTGGGAATTACTTCAGACTCTAAACAGTAAGGCAAAAAAAAAAAGGGAAGTAGTTATTACCAATAAATATTTAGATGAGAAATTTCCTTTAATAGTTAATTAAGGGAAAATGATCAAATCCAATGTAAAGGTTAATTTTACACACAAGGTATGAAAATTCAGGTTAATTTGTTATTTAAGTGCTCAGTCTAGGTCAGTAATAGACTTTAGAAGTAAGAATCAATAAGACCTATGAATATAATGTATACACACACAATGCAGGGTTTTTTTTAGTAACAACATCTGATAAGGTAGATTTCTCAACTTAATTAGAAAGACTTTTGGATTGATGACACTATCTCAGAATCAGACTTTAACTATGCTACCTGACTGTAAACTAAGTCTAATCATCATGCTCTAGCACCTCCACAAAGTCGACAGTAAAGAAGTAGAATCACTTACTTTCACCAGCTCCTGCTGAGCCCAAATCTGAATGGGTTCCACCTGTTGAGGAGTTTGAGTCTGAATACCATACGTGTTGAGGAAAACTTGAAGGCTAAAGAATACAGGGAAAAAGCAAGAGACATTTTTAGGCAACGCATGTAGAATGTGGAGAATGGTGGAGGAGGAGGAGGGGAGGAAGGAGACTACGCTAGCTTGGAGAACATTTTAATTTATCAACATGAGGAATATGCCATCTGTGCTGGGATCTAGAGACCCTCTGGGGTTCTTCACAAGGCATCAGGTGGGAGCTCTGGGGGCCGGCAGAAAGAGTAAGCACTGATTTGGGGAATTCCCAGTATTCGTTGCACTAACTTCTCAAAACTACACCCCAGGCAACACTGGCACAGGTCACACAGTCTTTAATATTCACATCAACTGAAACAAAATTATTTTTAAACATGAAAAGAATGTTTTTCTGGCACTTAAAGTAACATTAATGACATCCTTGAAACCCCGTCAAGGGGTCTGTGAAATTAATCTCTACCACCATACTCAATATTGCAACATAAAGCAGTAAGCCCCCCTCCTTTCCTCCCAAAGGAACACGCCACCCGTCTGGATTTCATACCGTTGGCTTTCTGCTATGAGTGCTACATGAACTACCAAATCATTTTCCAGTGGGCCCTGTAATACAGAATAAGGGGCGGGGGGGGGGGGAGAAACATTTTAAAAGATCTGGTCATCATCAGCTACAATGAGAATCAAGGACAATATTAACCATCTCTAAGTAGTTCATTAAAATGATGGACACCTACTGGCTCCATGCAGTCACCTCTCTCTCCTTGCTCTCCACTGCCTACTAATCAATTTGATGGTGTAGACAGAGTAATGGAACACCAAGGAATGGAAAACCATAAATCTCACCCCTACCAGACGGGCTAGCCTGTCAGGCCTATTTTGCATGATGCGTAAGAGTAGTGTGGGGACTGAGAGTCATTTTCCGCCATTTAACTCTGAAGGAAAGAGAAGGAACTAAAAATAAAAACCCAACTTCTGTATTCTCTGTAAAAAAATGATTGTGAGTTAAAATTGTTCATTTGACATCTTAACACATATAAGGCTATTCCTTTCTTCTTAGCCAATTTTCCTTTGGCATCATTTATATCAAAATAGCTTTATTCTAACATATAGTTCCTATAGTAGAGAATGAACTACCCAGTTGACTATGTAATTAACACTGTGTTCATTAAATACAAGCTGTTGGGCTTGATAGTTCTAATCAAAGATACTGTTGGATATTTGCTACTCTTTTCGTGTATGTGTGGAAAAGATTCACTATAGCATATATTACACATTGTTAAAATGAACCCAATTTTGAGCCTGTATTAACAGAGACCATTAAGAAGTATCAATAAATTACAGTATTAGGAAGCTCTAAAAATACTGATCAAATGTAATTTCTTTATAGTAATGAATCCAACATTCCCAATAGTATGCTGTAAATATCTGATTTACCATCAGTCAGTTCCCCTCTATGGTATTAAATATGTCACTAGAATTTATGTATGATGGAAAGCAAGAAACACCAGAATACATATATCAGCAGTAAATACCATACAATCAAAAGGATGGTTCCCAGAATCATTGTGAAAATGCCATTTCAGGCAGACTTCCATGTGATTTAAATGAATATATAAGAGAAAATATGATATAACAACCCAACAAAAATAAATACACATTAAAAATGCCATAAATTCTATTTTTATTTGATAAAGACCTTAAAAGTTAATGTTACTCAGAAGGATGAGAAAAAATTAATTATTCACAGTCTCATCAAGATTTCTAACACCAAATGAATACATTAAGCCTATTTCTCTCAGATGAAATCTAATATTTACTTCATCAAAAGAAGTAAGCTTAGAGTGGGCAAATTATCCACAATCTTCAGTACAATTATGGATTCTTAAATAAAAAGCAAATGAATACATATACAAGAATGTAGATAATATTTCAATAACAATAAATAAGGCAGCTTACAGATCCTAATTGGCAAATTGGTATCTTTTTTTTGAATCACAGACCTTTTATGATAATGTCTTTACTTGTATGACAGAGTACTCAGATCTGAAATGCCCACTACACATATTGAATCATACTAAGTATTTGGTTAGGAGACTACTAGATGGCTAAAGAATTCTTTCATTGTAAAACCTCAGCATTTCGGAAAGTTACAATTCACAAAACTTCTATGATGATCTTAGGCCTTCACCATAGCCCATAGGGGACACTGCACCCTATTTATACCCCAGAAAAAATTCGGCATGGGTAGTCCCACCTCGGTTGCTCCCTTCCTCTCACTGCCAAAGTTGGAACCATCTTTTCTCTGTTTTCACCATTTTCTTCAAAGCACCAACATTTTGTCTAAACCCATGAAGTCTCTCTGAAAACTTCCTAACAGTAATTAATATTTTCTATTTCTGGATGGTATTTCCCTTAATATTACTATAATATTTTCTCCTTTTAGGTTCATAAGTACACACACACACACACACGTGTATATATGCATATACATACTCAAGGCCTGTATGGTATGGTGCTCTCCATTTCACATGTATTTATGTACTCATTCATTTGATCAATAGTTAGGGATTCTAATATACAAGCCCTATGCTAGACCCTGATGTTACAAGATAAATACAACCCAGTGTCCCTCCATGAGGAGTTCAGAGTGTCCTGGGACAGACGGACAACAGACAAGCTTTCAAATATGTGTTTATTATCATGTGAAAGTATTTCACTGATACCTTTCTTTGGTAGTATAGACCTAATTTTTTTAAAAAAAGGGCTGCAGGACATTACATTACATGGACATACCATACTTTATTTAAGGAATGTTTATTTTGATGGACATTTAGGTGGTTTCCAATTCTGCAGAGAATATAATAATTGTCCTTATCTCAGAGAATTGCTAAGGATTTAGGGAGGAACAAAGTGCTAGGCACAGTTTTGACACCTAACAAAAATAAAGGCACTAAAACTTACTGCAGTTGTATTTACTATTTTCACATCTATCCTAGGACAGCTGCTCCTCTCTTCCTTGTTGAGATTTGCTTTAATACCTAAGTTGCCCTAAATCTCATTGGTTTCCACCATTCTAAGACATGAGGACCATCCATTACCCCATTTTTGTATGGCTAGTTCTTCTCCAAAGAATTCCAAACATCTTTTAAAAGAAATCTTCAGGTGACTTAACCACTTTCCAATTTTCTCTCCTTTTATTTCTCAAACACAGACTATAGCTATCTTCTTACCTTTTACCTTTCTTGCCTCTATAATTCTACATTCCGCCATCTAACCTACTTTCCCTTTTAGAGATGGAAATCCTCACACTTCAGTCCTTGGTCTTCTCATTCCACTTCTTTCTCTTTCTTTGTCTCTTCTTTCTCTTTCTTTGTCTCTCTCACCAAACTCAATCACTCTGGTAGCTTTAATTATCACCTCTAAGCAGATCATTTCATATTTATGTTTCTAGTCTTGAACTTTCTCTTGAGTTCTAGTGCCCATATTTTTAACTGCTTTCTGGACATTTTCTCTTGGCTATTTCCAAAGTTAAAAGTTCCTGAACTCAACACCTCACCAATCCTACCTCCACCCCAAACAGGCTCACTCTAGCTCAGAATGTCAGAATCATCTTTGACTCCTGTTTTTTACCCTCCATATCCAATTTGTCATCAAAATCCTGTTAATATTTAACTCATAAACTATGAATCTTCTTTTCTTGAATCTTCTTTTCATTTCTGTAGCAATATTCAGGATAGGAAAGTACCAACCATAGCAACAAACACTTCACATAACACTCAACATTCTATGTGCAAGGCACTGTTCTAACAAACCATTAATTTATAATAACAAACTATTATTTCCATTTTCCAGATAACAAAACTGATGCAAAGAAAGCTTAAGTAACTTACCAAGGATAGAGAGCTAGCTAACAGCAGAGCTAGAATTCAGACACAGGCAATTTGACTACAGCATCTTTGCTCATACTCACTCAGTTATTCTGCCTCTCAGAGAGTGGAAAGGGGGCAGATGTTAAAATTGAAAGGTCCACATACAAGTCCCATCTTATCACTTGACCTGCATGATCCAGGTCATCTAATAGATGCCTTAAATTTGTCATGGACAAGACTGAACCACTGAATTCCATCCTTAAAGCCACTCATCATCAAAGTATTTCTTACCTCTTTAAGACCTGATCTAGCCAAAAACGTGTAAATCATTCTTGACTCTTTTTTCCTTCAAACCTCCTAACCAATAACAACAACAACAAAAAGATAAGTTATTGAGCACCATGAAACCACAGGAAATTAGTTACTCATCAAAACACCCATACTTGGTAGGGAACTATTATTCTCATTTACTGATGAGACAACTGAGGCATGGAGTTGTTAAAAAAAAATTTAGCTAACATCACATAGATAATAAGTGGCAAAGGGGAAATCCAAATCTGGGCGGTCTCATCTATCTCTTAAACATTACAGTATCTGGAGGTGGGAGGAACAAGATGACAGAGGAGTAGGAGACCTAAATTTCATCTAGTCCCAGGAATTCAGCTAGATAGGTGTCAAACCATTCTGAACACCTACAAACTCAACAAGAGATCAAAGAAAAGAATAGCAGCAACTCTCTGAACAGAAAAGCAGCCACTTTCTGGAAGGTAGGATGTGTGGAGAAGTGAATCCAAGGCGATACTCGGGAAGATAGACAGTGGGGGAGGGGGCCTCCGACCACCACTTCTGGCAAGTGATAGAGCCGCCGAGCACAAAATCGGAACTTTTAGAAGTCGGCTCCGCTGAGGGACGTTGCTCCAGTGGCTAAGCGGGAGGTGGAACCCTCACTGGGACAGTGTGGTCTCAGGACCCTCGGGGTCACAGAAAGACCACGGGTGCCTGAGTGTGGCAGAGCTCCCAGGTATCAAAGTGGGGAAGCCGGCTGCAGAGACGGAGCCGAGGGGCAGGCTCTCAGCTCGGAGTTGCCATAAACCATGATCCACAGCACAGTCAGGACACTGCTCCTCCAGCAGGGACCCAACAAGCGGCATATCTGGGGAGATTCCCCTTCCCAGGGAGGAGAGGTGCCGGAGCGCACCACAGGGATCTGCTGGGTTTGGAGAGTCCACACAGAGTCGGGTGCCAGAGATAGAAACGCTCGGTCACAGGTTGGGTGAGCACGGAGTGCGACTGAAGACAGAGGACACAGGAGTAATTGACTGCTTTTCTCTGGGGGCTCACTGAGGAGTGGGGCCCCGAGCTCTCGCCTCCTCTGGAGTGGAGATTGGGAGGCCGCCATTTTCACTCTCGTCCTCCAAAGCTGTACAGAAAGCTTGCAGGGAACAAAAGCTCCCGAGAGCAAAATCGAGCAAATTACTTAGCTCTGCCCCCAGCAAGGGCAGGGCAATTCCACCTCCAGCAAAGACATTTGGGAACCACGGCAACAGGTCCCACTCCAGGTTGATCAGCAAGAACAGCCAGCCAAGACCAAGTTTACCGATCAATGAGAATGGCAGAACTCCAGCACTAGGGTAATACTGCACATAGAATTCATGGCTTTTTAACCATGATTCTTTAGTCTTTCAAAGTTAATTTTTTTAATTTTCTTTTTTGTCTTTTACTTTTTTTTTTGGA